ATACACATTCCTAGAGAAGATCCAACACAAAACAGAGTACAACATTAACAAAATTGGCAAGAAAAATAGAAAAATGAATACATTCACGTCACTGTAGGTTATGATATTTGTTATTGTGCTCGAAAGGACAATTGTAGTTATGGTATTTGTGATTATGATTGCATGCATGATCACAATACAAAGTTAGCAATATCCATCACAGTCTTATTCACAATGCCGGGAGCGAGAATATCCAAGACAAGAGAGAGAGAGAAAGAAAGTCTATAATAAATATATTTCAAAAAAATTTCAAAAAATTACATTCAAGCAGAAATGAAAAAGTGAAAAAGATGGCATTTTTCTCTCATAAGACGACTCTTTGTACATAAAATATAAATGTTCTTTCTCACAGCTTCCTCATTAGATTGTAATATTTTTTGATAATCATAAAATGCACAAATTCTGTTTCCTCTGGAAGATATGTTTTCTGTAGTGATCTTCATTGGATATCCAATTTTTGATAGTCTGATAATTTTTTTTGTTTTTGATGATATATTTGCGGTAAAAAATATTTGTTGATTCACCTTATTGATTTGTTTTTATTTCTCAATACAAAGATCAACCCACGGAGGGAACAAAAATGATGTTAGTCTTGTTAAATTTCTCATAATGCCTTACCTTCCATATCATTGACACTGACCAACATTATATTTGCTGTTTTCCATATAAATGCGGAAAGAATTAGAGGATTTTATTGAAACGTTATTGGACAAAAACATAACTGGTATTCAAGTAAGAAAAAGTGAACATAAATATGTTAACAACGATACGTCTGGAAATCAATTTTCCATTCAAAAAATATATATGAGGAATGTAACCCTCGTAATGAATTTGACACCGCGACCACAAAATCTTTTGAAAAATCATCTCGTGTGGGACAGAAATATTACAAAAATAGTACTGCATATCTTACCATCAATAATGTCATAATATGTTTGTAGGGTTCCTTTGGATTCTGACAAGAGAACGAAATCCCAAAAAGGAAATAATTGAGAAGGCATATGCTATTTTGGATGAGCAGAATATTTCTAAGACCTATCTTCAGAAGACAAATAGGGAAAATTGCCCAGAAGAGCGGTAATTATTGAAAAATGATACTGAATAAAAGCTTATGAAAAAGTACTTGCCTAATTATGGTTTTTGAATATAGTTGAATAGAAATTAAAAAATTGAATCAACATACTGAAGTTTCACTTCCTTGATTGTTTTGTATCATTGCTGTTAGAATGTTGGTTTCGTGAATAAATTTTTGTGTCAAATCATCTGAAAGAACAATTTGTTCAGGCCAGTCTCAACTCCCTACACAGTAGGTTAATGGACTGACACTCATCAGAAAACAACTACTCCCCTGGCTAATACCACGAAGGGCGTTGGATTATTTCCGACAGGTATCAGTGCAGGATTCTTCATTGAAGTTATTCCTGCATATGCTGTTGGCGATACAACTGCCGCAATAAATTTTCAATTATTGGAATAGCCCGAAACCGGTCTGCAAGTTGAATACACAAACCGGCCTATCCTTATAAAATTAATTTTCAAGTTCCCCCATAAATAAAAATCCAGTGGAGTTAAATCTGGGGATTGTGGTGGCCATACTACGAGAGGGCTATTGGGTCCTATCCATTTNAGATGCATATTCAAGATGACCTGTGTTTGCTCATTAATCGAGAGCTCTCACTTCTGGTTGGGATAGAATTTGTATGTTCAGCAACCAGAATTAGTTATACGAATAATCTTGTTCAGTTATAATAGATGCCGCCGATAATTTTTCATACACTGCTTCACACTATTTCGATAATCTAAGAATGTGGTGCTGTGACATTTTCCTCAGATAGGCTCAAAATGGATGATAGCATCTCACAGCATCTGTATCTTCCATACCTGAGAGTACTCTCCATATAGAATGAAGGGGTTCAGGTATTGGAAGCGAACTATTTTGCGCCGTAATATGTTTTACCTAAAAATTGAGTGTTCCATCGCGAGTGGCGGCCAGTGTATATCACTTTGGCCAAGTACAGTCGATACGAAGTCAATCCGAACAACCAAATGAAAGACATGTACCGGGTCTGACACATTTACTAGTTAATATCATATAAAATCTCCCATATGAATTAAAATGATCAGTCCTGGTATGAATAGTCACGCCGCTCATGCCAAACAAAGGAACTACCAACGTTCGGTGACTATTTAGTTTTCATGATATTCAAATTGACTTCGTATAACTACCCATTGCTTTTTTGCTGTTGTGTATACACTATATTATGATGATACAAATAATACTTCAATTGATATATATTTCCGCACGTGAACCATGAATTTTAATGAAATTGTTCTCTTTTTTATTATCGAAAGCGGATGCAGATTCATATCCGTGAAAGTATAACTGCCCTTGATATTGCAATAAAATGGTTCATGGTTGACTCGTTGTGAGGTATTTTTCTCAAATTCTCCGCTGCTACAGTAGCATCATCTTAATTTCTATCTAGAGGTCATTGTTCAATTGAAGGATTCACATCACGTTCTGTTTGACTTCACAATCAATATTATTATGGGAAAGTGAGTTTATATAGTATGCCTCATGACTGACATTTCTGTTTCATCTTCTCAACGATCTGCGGAAAAACGAATCCACTGCATTTAGGTAAAGCTCTCTAGTATATGTCAGACGAGCTTGACAAATAGTCAAGCTTGCCTGGTTATATGCAGTGGCATATAACCTGCATAATTCGCAGCAATCGAAATATTACTGATCTCCATCTTTCTGTGCAGAAAGGCCAGATAAACATCATATTAAATTACGGATATGGCCAATTGCACCAAATGAGATTGTGCGGATCATATTAGACTGCTGGTTGACAATAAAAGTCACAGCGTTTTGGTGATGAGAAAATGTTTTGCTTTCGGTCAACTACAACATGCAACATACAGTCCTAAACTCGAAAATAGATGACTGGAGAAAATACTAAATGTAAATATTGTATTGATAGTTCAAAAAACAGGTCCTGGTGCTTATACAGTTGGAACGAAGAACAGAGAAATCAACCTAACCACGGTACTTCAGGGATCATGATTCAAGCGGAAATCTGCACATATTAAAAAAGATAAACGGATAGTCATGTGGCACTGGAAGCACTTGTATCACACCCAGAAGTAATCCAGTGGATATTTAACTGCCAATAAAAACTCTGTCCAATGGAAAGACTTGGTTAATTGTCTCTGGCCTGGAGCCACACTAGTCTAAGATGTATAAAACTGCTGACTTCCTTGCAGAGACAGAGAGAGAGAGAGAGCAATGCAATTCGTTTCATGGAAACACAACATGTCATTGAGATCACTACGATATTTTGCTGGACAAAAACTACATAACTGTGCTGTAGAGAAAAGTTCACACATTTGGAAAAATCAAACAGGATTGGCCCATACCAAGATATTCATGTATACCTCAAATATCGTCACCAAGACAATTATGAAACTATAGCAGAGATGACCTACCTTGTCTAGTCGGCCCACTAACAGTTCCACTTTCTTTTGAATTATCCTATGAACAGGCTTAGACTATCAAAAGATCCAGCATACCGTCCCTATTTGAAAGAAAATGATACAGCAGATCACTATTCAAACAACTTTACTGATTAATCTATAATCTATAGACATCAGTAATGCTGATGATATCATAATCAGACATCATTTTTTTGTATGTCCAAAAAAACCTTTCAAAATGTGACAATGTAAAAACTCCCGTATCCAAAATTATGAAGGAAGGTTTGGTATTATGCGAAGCATAATGTACACTACAAAAAACAAAACATTTTCGGAACTTGGTTGAAGGAGGAAATATGTGAGACAAAACTATCGATGGCAACTTGTAGGAAATTATTTTGCAAAAAGTTGGAAATTATACATTTGTGATCAAATGACCTATTTTCAGTGATAATTTCTATACAATATCTAGTTTACGAAAACCTGTAAACCAAACTGAACAGGAACTGAAGAAAATAGTAATCAAAATTTGTCATGTGCAAGTGATATTTTGGTTCGTTTATGTCTTTTCGGGAGTCTTCGATCGAAAAGGGAAATTATTTTATTTATGTATATCGTTTTATGTATTCTTTTTACTGTACGTAGCTACGTAATTTTTTTAAATTGCAAAGTGACAGGGCGGTAAAAAACTAGTATGAAAGCAAAACTGAAATCAATTTCACAAATTAAAAATTAATAACTATGACGTTAGTCGAAAGGAGTTATGAAATGAGCATGGTGTATTAAAAAAGAAAAAAATGTTGCTTCCTATCAACTGTAACTGTAACATATCTAGTTCAATTCTTGATGAGCAGAAATGAGTATGAGGAATCACTAATTACCAGTTCATTATTTCTTCGAGAAAAGTACTATCCTCTCCATTACAGTTTGAATTTTTACAGATTTCGGAACATGAAAATGTTGAAGAAATAGAAAACTGAGTATTTCTACAGAGAGAATGAATTGATTTCGTTATTCATTCATACATTTTCATTGAAAACAAATGCATATTGAATAGTGTTTGAATTTAGTACTTTTGGAGTGAACAGTTCTCTGCAGGTCGTTCGGGATCATCATATTTTAGGTTTCAAATACTCGCGTTACATAATATAGTAAAGGAATTTCGATATTTTTCTTATCTCCTGCAGAGTGGAATGTAGCAACACATTGGATTGAAACCATTGACTATTAATGAACTTTTCATATAATGCGCGTGTTACATGTTACAAAAATGTGCTACTTAATTCATTCCAGTTTCAAACAGAGATCCAGGAAAGAATCATGCTATAAAATATGAATAATGCACCTCAAACAGTTTTGACATTCTTCTTAAAAATGTCACTGAAAAAATCAAAGCTGTTTGAAATCTAAAGAGTCATTCCAGGCAGAGTAGTAGATATGAGTGAAGGTGAGAAGAATACCCCAGTTTTCAGGGAAGCGAGAAGAAAGTATCACTACTTTCACTTACTTAATACAATGTAAAGGCGATGATTCTGAAACAAATAAATGAGTAATGAGCATAAATATACAAGCGTTACCTATCTCCTGAGAAACGTATAATTCAGGGCATTATGAAATATCAAGTTTTTGAGATAATATTAATAGCATAAGGAAATCATATTTTTCAACTAAGTCCAACTTATAATAGCCGATATAAAATTGTATATTCCATTCTGTCATGAATTCATTGGCAAAGATGCATTTGAATTTCCAGTTTGGAAGAACAGAAAAAATTATTTCACTTCAACTAATAATAAGGGAACATAGAACCGAACTTCCGTCTATTCTATGATCAGGGGAATATAAATATAATAATGTCGCAAAATCGTGTTGGTTATGCCATTTGTAACTCAAGAAAGGCTACATCGATCTTCATAATTTTCGATTTTTTGGATTTATGCCCACCCGAAATAACAGAATAACTATTGAAACATTAACAAAATTGGCAAGAAAAATAGAAAAATGAATACATTCACGTCACTGTAGGTTATGATATTTGTTATTGTGCTCGAAAGGACAATTGTAGTTATGGTATTTGTGATTATGATTGCATGCATGATCACAATACAAAGTTAGCAATATCCATCACAGTCTTATTCACAATGCCGGGAGCGAGAATATCCAATTTTTCATACCGAATTCGTAATGCAATGACACTGCAGATATTGCAAATGAATCCCATGCAGGTGAAAAAAACTCACGATAGGAGCGCTTTTTTCAGTGTCACCAGATCTACAGTATTTGCAGTAAATCCCCTGTTGTGTCTTTCGAGCTACTCTTCCACCTGTTGGCAGTTGCAATCTGATGATGACTCAGTTTATCTGCCATAATGATCAATAAATTACTGTAAATAGTGAAAATTACCATGTGTGTTAATAGTATGAATTCATGAATTGCAATCTGATGATGACTCAGTTTATCTGCATAATAATCAATAAATTACTGTAAATAGTGAAAATTACCATGTTTGTAATAGTATGAATTCATGAAATATATTATTCACAGTTTCATATATCAATTTACTGTTGTCGTGACTCAAAATCTACTGCTATCAGAAAAATTACCTGGCAACAATGACTATGTTAGTTTCGCCCTTCTTCATGCTTCATACACAATATGAAAGAGTATCTGTATCTGTAGAGTAGGGAGGGTGAGTGTAAG